TCCATTTCAGCTCACTAATGCCGAGGATATCAAGCTTTATGTGTAGATTCACACTTCATACATTCCATGTTCCGATTATTAATGAACGTTTGCAGTTGTTTCTCCTCAACTGAGTCGTGCCATGTCAGTAAAGGGAGGTCTAGAAAGCTTTACTTTATCCCTATCAGTAACGCTGGTTCTGCTCTGATGAGGCAGCTCTTTCCCAGTCATATTTTGAGAGCCTTTCAACCTAAGGGGCTTGTCCTCCTGCACTGTATTGGACAATGTTTCTGGGCTATTCATAAAGTTGCCTACTGATGTATCAGACAGTGTTTCTCTGCTATTCATAAGGTTTCCCTTGGCCAATTCTTTGAGAAGAGGATGGCCTCTTCCCTCTTTCTGGTCTGTCTCAGTCTGCAAGCTGCACTGAACACCATGCACCATGTGCCACTGGCGTCTGAAACACTGGTGGCACGGCCTCAATCCTCACAACAACACACAAGCCACCACAGTGTGACAAAGTGACAGATAAGTCTGTCTCCCTTAGCTGTTCGAAACTTGTCCACTCTCCCCTTACCAGGGTCCCTGCCGCTAGCACTTTGTTCTTGTCCCCCTGACTTCCTTTCCTGTCCCCCACTTTCTTGCCATGTGGGGGAAAGATTTTACGACCTAAAAATTTAAAACTTCTCTAAAGCAAAAGACATTGTACACAGTTAAAAGATGTAACATCTATGAAAATATTCACAGCCTATAAGCAGACAGATGCCTGAAATCACTGAGAACAGGAAAATGGAGAAAGGATATGAAAAAGAAACATAAAACCAAGAAAACTGAAATGACAAAAGCACATGAGGAGACCATCAATCTAAGCAGTTATCAGGAAAAAGCCACTTTTTAAAAAGTATCTGTTCATCAAAGAGTGCAGGAAAATACATACTCTCACTAGCTTTAACCAAAACCAAACGCACTGCCATGGAGTCAGATCCGACTCACAGCGACCTCTTCCAAGGTGCTATCACTACAGAAGTAGATTGTCCAACCTTCCTTCTGAGGAATGGCTGGTGGGTAGCTGGACAATAAACTAGCCTCACACTTCTTCAAACTATTCAGCACTATCTATTACAGATGAGAAGGTGCGCTGTAGTACAGTACTTAAAGGATTTGCCTGCTAATCACAAGGTCAGGGGTTCAAACTCACCAGGTGCTCTACAGGAGAAAGATAAGGCAGTCTGCTTCTGTAAAAATGACAGCCTTGGAAACCCTATGGGGCAGTTCTCTTCTGTCCTCTAGGGGTGCTGTGAGTTGCAGTCATCAAATTAAAAAGGACATTAGGTCCTGTATGAGTATCGTTTTTTGTAAATAAACAAAAAGTATCTGCGTAAAACTTGGAATAGATACCAACTATTTAAAGGGTTTCATTTTGATGGGAGAAATTTCAAGAAACTTTTATTCTCTACATAGTATTTACATTTCATAGAATTCTGGATCACACTTGTAATACAAAAATAAAAACATAAAAAACAAAAGTAAAATGGTTTTGTCCAAAGTTTTAAAAAAAAACTGAGAAAAAAATTTAAATTATGCCAGTATGTTGCTCAAAGGGGGCCCTGGTGACATAGTGGTTAAAGCAATCAGCTACCAACCAAAAGGTCGGCAGTTTGAACCCACCAGCTGCTCTGTGGGAAAAATGATGAGGCATCCTGCTTCTGTAAAGATTTAGAGCCTTGGAAACCCTACGGGGAAGTTCTTCTCTGTCCTTTAGGGGTGCTATGAATCAGAACTGACTTGACAAAAATGGGTTTGGCTTGGGCTTTGCTTCCATAAAGACTGACAACCTAGGAAACCCTCTGGGGCAGTTCCCCTCTGTCCTCTAGGGGCGCTGTGAGTCAGAATCAGCTCAGGGCATGGGTTTTACGCTGCTTGTTTTCAAGCCTATTTCTAGAGAGAGCCTACTGTATGTAAGTAAGCACAGTAGGCCAAACCCAAGCCATGTAAGTCAAGTCAAAGGGGAGAAGATCTGTCTGTCCTACTCATCTCCTAAGCCCCCATGTCTACACACAGAAGCCAACTGGCAGAGTAACAACCTAGGACTGCTGGGAACATGTGCAGAGATGTGCCTGCCATCAAGACAGCTTTCACTCAGAGCAGGAAAGTAAGCCCCACCCATTCATGCCAATTCCCAAAGCCAAACAGGTACCTCAGTGATAAGGTGTGGTGTAGTAAATTATTTAATATGGCTTTTCTACCCATAAGTCTTTGTAAACTCCAAGGTGGGATTTTTTATGAGCAACTGAGGAGCTCCTGATTGCTGAAGGTGTCCACCTGGAGTATTTCTGTTGGGCGTGGCACAAAACAATTTTTTGGGAGGTGCCCACTCTCTCTCAGGTGCTTAGAGTTCTG